ATGGCTTCAGAGCCTGGCTGCTACACCATAGAGAAATATGGGCCTACACTAAACGTACCCAAACAGTGTCACCAACTGGGGCCAAGCATTCCAATGCCTGAGAATCTGTTGGACATCTCATTCAAACCACCATAGGGCCTCAATACAGGGACAAGGGTCAGACAATAGCTGGCTGTTAGAAAAAAAGCATGGATCCACGGACAGCAACTTGGCTCCTCCCCGTATCCTTTAAACACTGCAGATTCCATATAGTCAAACAAAATGCTTGGATAGCCACACAAGTGCATGTGCACAAATTGCCTAGTTTCCTTCCCTGACAAAAGTCACTTGAGGAAGGAAGTCTATTCTGGTTCACAGTCCACCACATCAGGGCAGTAGAAGCAGCAAGAACTTGGAGTAGCCCATCACGTCTCAACCACAGCCTGGAGGCAGAGAGTGATGAACACGTGTGGTGCTCGTGCCCTTTCTCCGTTGTTTTAGACTCCAGAATCCCAGCCAAGAAATGGGACCACTCACAGTGGGGAGGTCTTCCCGCCTGGATGAACAAAATCAAGATGACGCCCCACGGCACACCCAGAGGCCATCTCCCCATGCTTTGTTGCTGATCCCTTGCTGTGGAAAGACACCCTGACCAAGGCAACATTTACAAAGGAAAGCGTTTAATTGGGAGCTTGCTTACCGTTTCAGAGGGTTAGCTCATGATCAGCGATCAGCGTGTTCAGAGCACACAGGCGTGGTGCTGGAGCAGTAGCCGAGAGCTTCACACCCTCATCCACAGGCAGCAGGCACAGAAAGACACTGGGCCTGGTAGAGGCTTCTGAAACCTCAAAGCCCACTCACTCTCAGTGGCGTGCCTCCTCCAACAAGGCCATACCTCCTAATCCTACCTGAGGGCTCATCAACTGCAGACCATGCATGCAAGTATGTGAGCCCATAGGGGGCATGCTCATTCAAACCACCACACCCAGCTAAACCCAGATTTTGTTAAGTTGACAATTAACACTATCATACAGTGTTGGTAGTAGCAGTGTTATTAATTAGCAAAAATAAAAATAACACGACTATGGAATGAATGTTTGTGACTTGCAAAAACTCATAGGTTAGAGCTCTAATCCCCTGCATTGGCTTGAACGAAAATATTCCCTATAGGTTCATGTGTCTGAACTCTGGGTCTTCAGTTGCCAGTGCTGTTTGAGGAGGTTGAGGGACCTTTTGAAGGCAGAACCTTGCTAGAGGAAGTACATCACTGAGAGGAAGGGCCTTTGTGTTTAGCCTTGTCTCACTTCCTGCTTACTATCTCAGTTTCCTGTTTGTGGTTGAAGATGTGATTTCACAGGTCCTTGATCCAGTCGCCTACAGACATTCCTCCTCCACCTACATCATTATGGATTCTCTCTCTGTTGCTCTCAAACAAACGAAACTCGTTCTTTTATATCTCCCTTTGGGGCATGGTGTTTATACCAGCAACAGAAAGTCATGAATACATTCCCTATTTGAAGGGGACATGAAGGAAGGGCTCTTCTGAATAGAATGAGTGCCCTTATAAGAAGATGAGAGATACAGAGACAGACAGACACACACACACACACACACACACACACACACACACACACATACACACCACGCAGAGAGAGAGAGACTCAATTTACCAATATTGTGTCACGAAGATGGTTCTCTGCAAGACAGCCCTCACCAGAAACTGAATCAGGACTGAACCTGGGCCCGAACTCATAGCTCCAGATCTATGAGAAGCAGATATTTGTTTCTTGTTAAGCCCTGCAGGCTGTAGCATATTTGTAATGGCAACCCCACTAGACTAAGATAAACCAAACTATCAGCTGACTGATGGGTAAATTAAAATGTATAGCCATACAATGTAATGGCGTTCTTCAATACAAACAAATGGAATAGCATGCTACAATGTAGATTAGCTTTGAGTTATGATATGAGTCCATGTACAAAAATGACCAGGAAACACATATATCTAACAGAGATAGAAACCACACTGGTGTCTGCTCGGGGTTTGGAGTAGGGAAGAGACAGATTTGAAGAATGAAGGTGGTATGCCTGCTAAAGGATATGGAATTTCTTTGGAAGAATGAAATAATTTCTTTTAAAGTAATGAATTATAAAATTGGAAGTTGTACACAACCTAGATATATTAGATATCTAGATATAAAAAGTTGAATTGTGTAGTCTCTCAGTTATATCAAAATAAAGCTATTATCAGAAATATTCCTGGTGTTCTCCACATGCCTAGTGTCAAAATGAAATGTTAGGGAGGGGCCTCCTGGTGTTGCATCAAAATGGATCCAGTTCCAACTGGTGTGGCAGTGCAAGCAGGGAGAGGTTGGAGTAAATAATAAGACCTTATCAAAAAAATTAAAAATAAAACCTTAATTCAGTCCTGAGGCCCTATTGCACTTGGCTCTACTAATTCTGATTTTTACTCCCCTCCCCCTGATCTAAAGCACCAACCTAACTTGTTTCTATTCTTGCCATCTCTCATCTGTAAATTGAAGGTTTTTGCCTTAGCATAAAAACCAGCTCTGGATACCCCAGGAACCCACCTCATCAAAGGCCCATGGAAAGAAGGGATAACGCCTCAGCCCTTACCATGGCTGTGAGGCAGGATGGAAAGAGAGAAAACTTCAAGGAATATGGGATGGAAATGGTGTACCTCCCTCCAAACTCTGGCTGAAGTCTCTCACCTGAGTCAAGTCAATTCAAGAGTCAGTAATTACAGCAAAATGAACATTTGCTGTGAAGACTACCTACATAAGGACAATATTCCTTTTATATAAAGATTTTTAAAATAAGAATATTAAAACGTCAATGAAGCTTGATGGGTGCCTAAGCTTCAGATGTGGTCTTGCTCCTTTCCCATTGTAAAACATTCACAAAGCAGATTAACTTTGGGGTGCAGCTAAGATGCCCAAGCTTTCCACATCTCTGTGATTATTAACTATAATCCTGTCTGTGCAAATCAGGAACTACCTTCTGATCTCAGTGAAATTTCTTCTCTCTTTGAGGAGAGTAACTTTAGAACCCATCAATATCCCTCAAACTATTGGAAAGACAAGACAATAAAACGCCATTCTCCTCTGAGAAACTCATACCCATGTGTGGGCAGGTCTGAGTCTCTCCCTAGGCACCTCTCTCTCTGTGAGCCCCACCACTTAAACCCATGTTGAAAATCCCTGTTAATAATCCCCAACTCCACTTTGCGCTGGCTCATTCTGAAATTCTTTTCTTCAGCTAGATCAAGGATCCAGTAGACCCAAGAAAAATGCTATTTACTAAACTACCACACTAACAATAGCGTCAAAAACAAACATACTATCAGTAATGTTATAGCTTCAATACATATTATAGGATATATTGCAAAAAAAATCCCATTTAGTGCCTTTTTAAAAAAACATTTATTTTTATTTATTTTTAATTATGTGTATATATGTGTGTCTATGCATGGGTATGTCACATGAGTGGAGGTGCCCATGGAGGCTGACCCCCTGGAACTTGAGCTTCAGGTAGTTGTGAGCTGACAGTTGTGACCTGGGTTCTGGGAACCAAATCCAGGTCATCTGCAGGAGGGGTATTCACTCTTAGTCACTGACTCATTTCTCCAGTCTCTTGGTATCTTATTTTGATTTCAACATCTTGGAGTGTCCTTTGCACAAAATTCCAAAGAGATGATCGTAAGTTTGTTTGACTTTGTCAGCAAATAATATGCATGAAAGAGACATTCTTCTGGGTGTGGCTCTCTGTCCAAACGTTGGATGGTTTTCCAAAGTCAAATGCCCGAGTCCTTGAGTCATGTTTCCCAAGTCAGGATGCAAAGAAGCTGTCAATTCATGTATATTCTCCAAACAGTTTTACTTTTACAGAAAAAGAACACAAACACTGAAGAATGAATTGCTTTGGCCCATCCTTGGGAAAGGTTTTGCACATGTCCACTAAGTGAGCATCAGGAAACAGGCTATTAGGTCATGGGGTGGGGGTAGGGTCTTCGCAAAGATGTCCTAAGGAATGAACATCTACAGCTGTCATCCCTGCATCACACCAGGTCATGCTGTCTCAGGAGTCTGACTCCAAGGGCCTAGAAGGAGACTATGTGACTCCAAAGACATTTTGACACGAAGTTGAGATTGAAAAACTCCCTACAGCTTGGCATAATTCCAGGAGGCAGAAGCTGGTTGATCTCTGAGTTCAAGATCAGCCTGATCTGTGGAGTGAGTTCCAAGAAAACCAGGGTTACACAGAGAAACTCTGTATCAAAACGGGGAGTAGGGAGAAAGAAAAACAAACTCCACTTAGGTACTATGAAAACCTCAAAACATGGGGACACAGGGAAACAAGGATTTGAGACTTCCCTCAAGGAGGTCCACTTGTTTTGGGAGATAGAAACAGAGGAATATAACATATTAATGCAATTTGATAAATGTTCTAAGCCACACAGCCAAGACAGACCAATCTCTGAGTCATGGTTGTTCTAGTCATGGTGGTTCTGGGAGGATTAGGGAATCCTAAGGACTAAAATGTAGCAAACAATCTAGTCTCTGTTCTATTGGCTGCTGTGAAGAGGCATGTTATGAGTCTGTAAGGACAAACAAGTTCAGGAGTATTAAGAGGAAATATTAAGTGAAATGTTATGAGTTTGTAAGGATAAACAAGCCAGGAATATTAAGATACAATATTAAGTGACACACAAAATGAAACTAAAAAGTATGAAGCAATGTGTGCAGTGGTGATAAGAGTTTGAGTTGGTGAACAAGTGTGACATAACTATATGATAAGCAGACATGTGTGTTAATCTAGAATTAAGAAAGTAAAGTAGCCACGAACAGTATAAAAACTTGAGGCTCACGGCCAGAAGACATTCTCAAAATGACTTGCTAGACATGCTGTTAGAGCGGTCATAGAGAATCCAACGAACCAGCAACTTCACAGCTGAGACCGTCCAAGAGCCAGAGAACTAGCTCTTGCCTGCAGACTTGCTGATCCAGAGGTCTACGTCGAGAGCCACGGACCATTATCAGGTCGTATACACCAATGCCTCAGTAAGATAGGATAGAAGACCTTGCCTAGGACATAGGAACCCTTGCTGAATGTGTGATGTGATTGAAGGTGTGATGTGAATTGATTGACTAGGATTGTTATAGGTTTGATGTTTACTTATATCTGCCATAGGAATAATTAGAGATTTAAGTGATTGTTATAGTTTTGATGTTTGCCCATACCTGCTAATAATTGGAGATTTGACTATTGGCATAATAAACTTGTTCCTAGAATAAACACTGTGGTCATCCTGAGTATTTACTTGCAGACCTCTAAGTAAGGGCAGAATGCCCGCTCAGGAATAAGGCTCGCGACAAGACACCACAACCAACACAACTCTTATAATAGAAAGCACTTTGCTGGGGGCTTGCTTAAAGTTTTAGAGGCTTAAGTTCTTATTATCACCATGGCAGGCAGCATGGTGGCAGACAGGTGAGGTGCTGGAGAAGTAGCTGAGATCTACATCCTGATCCTCAAGTAGAAACGGGGAGGGAGGGGGGAAGAGATTGGCCTGGCATGGGCTTTTAAAACCTCAAGGTTCACCGCCCACAGCCGCCGCCCCCATAACACACTTCCTCCAAAAAGGCCACGTCTCATAATCCTTCTAAAATGGTGCCACTCCCTGATGACGGTTCAAATACATGAGCTTATGGAGGCCATTCTTATTCAAACCACCGAAGAGCTCCAAATTACTTTTGCTTTTTTTCTTTTGTTTTGTTTTGTTTCCAAGCAGCCTGTAGCACCTCTGGAAAGAAAAATCCCCTCTGCCACCTGTCAGCAGATCACTGGGGTTCTGAAACAAGTACATCCCAACTGGCCTGTATCCCTCAGTGCTTGGTTTAAAATAATAACAATAATGAGGGGCTGGAAAGATGGCTCAATTGTTAAGAGCAACGCCTGCTCTTCCAGAGGACCCAGGTTCAATTCCCAGCACCCTCATGGCAACTCACAAGGGTCTGCAACCCCAGTTCCAGGGGATCCAACACCCTCTCATAGACATAACAAGAATCCACAGAAAATAAAAACAAGTACATTTTTTTAAATTTAAAAATAACTAAAATGAAGAGCTAAAGGGACCTGACAAGTTTTCTAAAATGCCATCTCAGACTCCACCCTATGAGGAGGGAGACTGACCTCTGATGGCTTCCCATGGCCACAGCGGTAGGGACATAAGCAACTGTGACCACAGGAAACTAATAAGCAAGGAGTAGCAGTCCCTGGAAGACAGGCAGCAACAAACAACGGAGAGGAAAGTCAGTGTGGTTTAGAATCGGAAATATCTAGGTTCTGCAAACATAGTAAAATGTCCAGGGAAATTCAATTGAGAGCTTCACACATGCCAAGCAAATTCTCTATCACGGCAGTACGCTGTCAGCCCTTCTGCAGAAATCCTTACAGGAGGATTACCAGGTTGGAGGCACAAGCTAGACAGCACCTTGTACCACCTCTGTCATGTATGACATCTCTTGCGTGACAGTTTCCAGCTTCCAAGTGATCTTACATATATTCTTGTAGTTTTGAACTCTGTAGAATAAAGTGCCTGGATATATATATGTGTGTGTGTGTGTGTATGTGTGTGTGTGTGTGCCCGCCCGTGCGCGCACACAGCTATGATAAACTCAGCTACCATTAAATCTTACAACTTGTTTACTTTCTTGGTGATTCCTGCAGATACTTTTCAAAGCTTTTGAAATGCAAATATAGGTCCAGTCTTCAAAAGGCTATGGTTTTCAGCTATGCACACAGATCCAGCAGAAATCGAGCTGAAGACGAGCCAGGCCATAAAAGCATACTTGGAAAGAAATGTTTAGATGAGACCATGCAACTGTTTGCATGAACCAGGCAGCTGCCTAGTCTCAGACCCTCAAGTTCACTACCTGTGACACGGGGATGGCAAGCCTTAGGGAAGCTGCAAGAAGGTAATCATGGGGAAATTAGTGCTTTCGAAGCCATGAGTGTAAATCTGCGTTCATCTGACTAATCTTTAACTTTTGTGTTAAAAGTTTGCAGAGACCAGGTGCAGTGGCACACGTCTTTAATCCCAGTGTTCTGGAGGTAGAAGTAAGTAGATATCTGTGAGTTTAATAAAGGCCGGCCTGGTCTGCAAAGCAAATTCAAGAACAGCCAGGGCTACATAGAGAAATCTTGTCTCAAAAGAACTAAACATACACACACACACACATACACACACACACACCACACAAATAATAATAATAATAAATTTAAAAAGAGAAAGAAAGAGCTAAGTGTGGTAACTGATGCCTGTAATCTCAACACTGGAGAGGCAGAGGCAGAAAGATTAATTGCCACAAGTTTCAGACCAATTTGCGTTACATAACAAGTTCCAGACCTACAGACTCTGGTCTTAAAAAAAAAAAAAGAAAAAAAAAAAAACAACTTCTCTCTACATTAAGCAGAGGCTGTTGGAGAAAACCAACAAGAGATTGTGTGGTATCCAGTCCCAACTGACATCTACAGCATAACTCCTGCGCCCAAGTCTCTGGGGACATCGCTGAAGAAAAAGGAAAAGATTGGAAGAGCCAGAGGAATAGGAAGTTGACTGTGCAGTTGAGTCTCATAGAAAAGTCAGAGGAGCTACAGCCACGAAGTCTCACCTGTATGGCTGCCTAATCAAGATTTGAACAAGGATGTGAGCAACAGACCTGCTGACCTGGGAGGGGAAGTCTCGTGAGCCTCCAACGCTGAGCAAGCAACGACAGGCAACTAAGCAGTTCTGAGGTTGTGGAGCTGAGGAAACAGTCTTCCCCAGGGAAGAGCCTCCGATGGGTTATGGACTGCCAAGTGGTCAGCCTTCAGATTTTATATGATTTATATAATACATATATAATATAAATGCTATACATATAATGTGTTATATAATACATATACAATGTGTACATATATGTATTATACATATTATGTATACTAGTAACATTATACAGACTTAGCTGATTGTATTTATATATTTAGAAATAAATGCATATGCTTACAAATATATGTATATACATAACAATAATTTTTAAAAATAAGTCATAACTTTGAGAGAAAGCTAAAGAAGTTCATGGGGGCAGTGTTGTAGGAAGGAAAAGGAATGGGGGAAAGATGTAATTATAATTTCAAAAATAAAAATTATATGTTAAAAATACATAGAAAATTATAGTAGAAAGAAATAGAAAAAATAAAGAGAATAAAGGGGGAAAGGAAGGGAAGGAAAAAGAAGGAAAAGGAAGAAAGGAAGGAGGAAAAGCATTCCGTAGTAAATTTGACGAAGGTTGACCTTGACAGACACCAGAATTAGTCAACAGCGACATCTAGTGCTCAATCAGAATTCTGCATCGCTCTTCCGTGTGCAAGGAGAATCTGTTAATTGTAGCAATGCAAAGCAGTTTCACTTGTCGACTGCCTGAGATCCCCGTGAGTTGGACACTTCGGCCCTTGTGTTGCTGCTTCTACAGATGTTTTCAGATAAAGACACAGATTGTTTGTAGAGACGGAGCACCTCGGAGCCTTGGTACACGCACGCAGCCCCACCTCAGCCTCACCTAAGGATGGTGCCTGTGTTAAGCATCCCTGGAGGCTCTCTGAGGATTTGTTTGCTTTTTTTGTTTGCTTGTTTGTGACCGGGTTTCTCTGTGTAGCCTTGGCTGTCTACTCACTCTGTAGAACAGGCTGGCCTCGAATGTACAGAGATCCGCCTGCTTCTGCCTCCCGAGTGCTGGGACTAAAGGCGTGCGCCACCACTGCCTGGCGTCCGAAAAGGAGCCGGGCTCACCTGATTGCCTCCTTGCTGAGAGAACCATCGCTCCGTGAGTATTCTATCAGATCCTTGAAGAAATGCCCTTTGGGCTGAGAAAGAAAATCAGTGAAACATCACCCTCTACAATAGCCACAAATAAACTATCTTAAGGTAACTCTAACTAAACAAGTGAAAGACTTTGAACAAAGAAATTGAAGAAGACATCTGAAAATTGTAAAATCTTCTGTGCTCTTGGATAGCTAGGATTAACATAGTAAAAAATAGCAATCTTACCAAAAGCAATCTACAGATTCAATGCAATATCCATCAAAATCCCAGGAAAATTCTTCACAGACTTCGAAAGGACAATATTCAACTTCATCCGAAAAAACAAAAAAACCCAGGGTAGCCAAAAAAAATTCTGTACAATAAAAGAACTTCTAGAGTCATTACAATCCCTGGTTCAAACTCTACTACAGAGCTACAGTACTGAAAACAGCCTGGTACTGGCATAAAAACAGAAAGGAGTTTGTTTCCTAATTTTCTGAGAAATCGCCACACTGACATCCAAAAGGGTGTACCAGTTTGCATTCCCACCAGCAATGCAGAAGTGTTCCCTTTATCCCACAACCTCTCCAGCATAAGTTGTCATCAGTGTTTTTGATCTTGGTCACTGGAATCTCAGAGTTGTTTTGATTTGCATTTCTCTGATGACTAAGGATGTTGAACATTTCCTTAAGTGTCTTTCAGTCACGTTAGATTCCTCTGTTAAGAGTTCTCTGTTTAGGTCTGTACTCCATTTTTTTTTACTGGATTATTTGTTCTTTTGATGAACAATTTTTTTTTTTTTAGTTCTTTGTATATAACTCTCCTCAAGACCCAGTAATACCACTTTTGGGTATATATTCAAAGGATGCTCAATCGTGCCACAAGGACATGTACTCAACTATGTTCATAGCTGTAACTTGAAGGGACTGGCTTGTTTGTTGGGGTTTTTTGTCCTGCCCAGTTCCCCCAGCTGTTTAGTCCCAGAGAAAAATCACACAGAAATCTCTACAAGTTATAATGCTGATTGGCCCATTAGGTCAGGCTTCTTACTGGCTAACTCTCACATCTTGATTAACCCGTTTATCTGATCTATTTTAGCCATGTGGCTCAGTACCTTTTTCAGTGGGGCAACTCACATCCTGCTGCTTCGGTGATCTGGGCAGGAGTGGGAGGAATCAACTTCCTCCTCCCCAGAATTCTCCTGCTCTCCTTGCATCATTTCCACTTCCTGTCTGGTTTTCCCGCCTACACCTCCTGCCTGGCCAATCAGCGTTTTATTTAAAACATGATTGACAGAATACAGACAATTCTCCCGTACCAATAGCAGTATTGTTCATCATAGCCAGAACCTGAAAACAACCTAAATGCCCCTCGACTGAAGAATGGATAAGGAAAATGTGGTACATTTATACAATGGAGTACTACACAGCAAAATAAAATAAAATAAGACATCTTGAAATTTGCAGGCAAATGGATGGAGCTAGAAAATATCATATTGAGTGAGGTAACCAAGACCCAGAAAGACAGTTATCATATATACTCACTCATAAGTGGTTTTTAAACATAAAGCAAAGAAAGCCAGCCTAAAATCACAATCCCAGAAAATCTAGACAACAATGAGGACCCTAAGAGAGACATACATGGATCTAATGTACTTGGGAAGTAGAAAAAGACAAGATTTCCTGAGTAAATTGGGAGCATGCGGACCATGGGGGAGGGTTGAAGGGAGGGGAGAGGAAGGGAGGGGAACAGAGAAAAATGTGTAGCTCAATAAAATCAATAAAAAAAAAAAAAGACAGGAGGACCAATGGAATCGAATCGAAGACCCTGATATCAATCCACAAACCTATGAACACCTGATTTTTGACAAAGGAGCTAATTATGAAAGTTTTTTTTTTCCAAAAATGGTGTTGGCATAACTGGATATCAACATGTAGAAGAATACAAATAGATCCATATCTAATCGGAATGCCCCAAAACTCAAGTCCAAATGGATCAAAGACCTCAACCTAAGACCAACCACACTAAATCTCATAGAAGAAAAAGTGGAAAGTAGCCTTGAAACTACTTCCTAAATATAACTCCAGCAGCACAGACACTGAGAGAAACAATTAATAATTGGGACCTCCTGAAACTGAAAAGCTTCTGTAAAGCAAAAGACACAGACAACAAGACAAAATGATAGCCTACAGAAAGGGAAAAGATCTTCACCAACCCCAAATCAGACAGAGTACTGATCTCCAAATTACACAAAGAATTCAAGAAACTAGACATCAAAAGAACAAATCCAATTAAAAAAAAAATAGAGTACAAGCCGGGTGGTGGTGGCGTATGCCTTTAATCCTAGCACTTGGGAGGCAGAGACAGGTGGATTTTTGTGAGTTCGAGGCCACCCTGGTCTACAAAAGCTAGTTCCAGGACAGGCTCCAAAGCTACAGAAAAACCCTATCTCAAAAAACCAAAAAATAAAATAAAATAAACAGAGAACTCTCAACAAAGGAATCTCAAATGGCTGAAAGACACTTAAGGAAATGCTCAACATCCTCAGTCATCAGAGAAATGCAAATAAAAACTACTCTGAGATTCCACCTTACACCTGTAAGAATGGCCAAGATCAAAAACACTGATGACAACTTATGCTGGAGAGGTTGTGGGGAAAAGGGAACACTTCTGCATTGCTGGTGGGAATGCAAGCTGGTACAGCCCCTTTGGATGTCAGTGTGGTGATTTCTCAGAAAAGTAGAGAACAACCTTCCTCAAGACCCTGCAATAAAACTTTTGGATTTATATCCAAAGGATGCTCAATTGTACCACAAGGACATGTGCTCAACTACGTGCACAGCAGCATTAATTCATAATAGCCAGAATCTAGAAACAACCCAGATGCCCCTCAACTGAAAAATGGATAAAGAAAATGTGGTACATTTACACAATGGTGTACTACTCAGTGGTTAAAAAAAAAAAAACAAAAAACAAAAAACAAACAGTGACATCTTGGAAATCTGCAGGTGAATGATCAGAACTAGAAAAAGCCATCCTGGGTGAGGTAACCCAGATCCAGAAAGACAAATATAATTAATATGTACTCACTCATAAGTAGATAATAGACGTAAAACAAAGGACAACCAGCCTATAGGCCACAACCCCAGAGAACCTAGGGAACAAGGAGAACCCTAAGATAACATGGATTTGCCTAGGAAGGGGGAAAATGACAAGATCTTCTGAGTAAATTGAGTGCATGGTAGTGGGGGTGAGTGAGAGGAAAGTGTATAGCACATTCCTAGCCAAATAATTAAAACAAAAAGAAGTTTTTAAAAAGAAAATAGAAAGAAAAAGAAATGCCCTTTGGGCCAGAGAGAGGGTTTATTAGTAAAGGTGCCTGATGACCTACGTCAATCCCCAGAACCCACGTTGTAGAAGGAATAGACAGGACTCCCACAGGTTCTCTGACCTAAACATGGATCATGGATGCCATAGCATGTAGGTTCACACACACACACACACACACACACACACACACACACACGCTAAATAAGGATTGGAGGGGGCTGGGGGCTTGTTGTTTGTTCGCGACAAGGTCTCTATATAACTGTGGCTGACTTGGAACTCACTATGTAGGCCAGGATAGCCTCGAACTCACAGAGATCCTCCTGCTGCTGTCTGCTGGGATCAAAGGCATGCACCACCATGCCCAGCTAAACTAAGTTATTATTAAAAGCAGAAACAACCTTTGCCACTCTTTGGGAGACTGGACCTTTCTGGCTCCTCCTAAGGACTGCTCATTAGTGACAATACCAGTAAAATTCTCAAGGATAGGCCAAGTATGTCCCCTTAAGAGTCTAGCCTTTCAAGCTCACCTGCTGCGGGAGTACCTTCCGCTGCTTCAGCCAATAGTCGCTGAAGCACCAGCCCACAATGCTGCGGGAGCACCTTCCGCTCTGTCAGCCAATAGCCGCTGAAATACCAGCCCACAGGGGCGTGGTATATTTCTCTTTAAAAGAAGAGCGGCAAGCCTCCACTCGGCCTCTTGGTACCAGCGCTTGGTTCCGGCGCTTGGTTCCGGCTCCTGCTCCAGAGACTAGGCTCCTTTCCTGACGGTTT